AGCTTCAGATGCGCGTTTTCAGAATAAAAGTCCATTTTTGGGAAGTTCTGTTCAGGCGGGTGCGCTAAGCTAAAGTTGTAGCACGCTAAGAGTGTTTTGACAGATTTGGCAGAAGTTGTACTGATGAGGCCGCTTAGCGGGATGAGGCCGTTTAGAGGGGGTACCGCTTAGCGGGATCAGGCCGCTTAGAGGGATTTAGGTCGGTTTAGTGTGTAAATATCGTGCAACGCGCTTAGCGCGGTCTGTTGAGTTTTATAAAAACAAATTTAGTTCATTTTTAGGTTATGGTTTTGGGGAAGTTTTTTCTCCCAACTCCATCAACCCTCATTTTTTATAGATTAGCTTAGAAAACAACATCAGGGTCTTACTTATGGATGATTGGAGGTGTATTTATCATCGATCGACGCTGAGAAACCAGAATATTTGTGGTTTATCTCTTCTCCTCTATTTGTATTTATCTTTTATTGGGTATTGTATGTATATATTCTTTGAACTCATGTATATTTGTCGTCCTTCGCGTTAAATAAAACTTGCTTTACAAATCTTTGTTGATTGTTATCCTTGGTTTTTGCTCTGTACTAGGGATTTGAGTTTCTATAGACATATACTGCTTAGATTCTTATCTAGGATGATTATCTAATAGTGTCTGAATTCTAGAGATAGATTTAGCGTTGTTATTCACTTAGGGTGTCTGTGATTAATTCCTCTGTATTTTTTGTGTCGCTCCGAGAGATCGTTGATGCAAGTGAGCACAATTGACTTTTGTGTTTTTGAGGTGGTTGAGAGATCGCTACCGAGGTGATGCAGTCGGCCTCTTAATTTGGGTTAGAAACAACTTAGGTTGTGAGTGACATGTGATGACATGTGATGACATCGATGAATAGTATAGGTTGAGTATAAAAGGTCGATAGGTTTAAGTCTGTGAGAAGTGGTATATATGCATGCTTGATAAGTTATTTCTTTTTCCTTTTTATACATTTATTTTCTGTTGATAATTTTCCTTTCAACCCATTCAACCCCCAAACTCATTAACGATAGATTTGTCGAACGGAATTTCAATACACCAATCTTTGTGGACATGATACGATATAACTTAAATATCACCCGGCAAATTAATAACTTACTTTTTGCTTTCCGCTTTACCGCAACAACAAAATGGCGATGTTGTCGGGGATTGGTTCTATTGTTTCGCATCGAGATAATTCTTTTGTTTTTGAGTTTTGTATTTAATGTATATGTTGTATAGAAATTGTACATGAATTTGTATATGATTATCATATTTATGAATTTTACATGTTTTACATACTTGTGCATATATTGTTTTTTCTTTGTTTTCATGTGTTGTTGTGAATTATCTTGTTTTTGTAGAGTTTGTTGTGTGGATGTTTGGACACTTTTTTTAGGTTTGCACGGTGTGACAATACCATGGCATGACGAGAGGATGTTACTAGCTCGCACAATAAAGGCGTCGAGCTTACGACGTAAAATCAACATGTTTTGTTTGTATTCGTTTATGTATGTGTTGACTTGTGTTTTAACAAGTTGAAATTAGACTTGTTTTAAATTCTCAAATTTTCACTTTTCAACTTGTTAATTCACTTTCAACCATTAGTTTTGTTATGTCAATTTGTGTTTTTCTGCAAGCTTATCGTGTTTAGCTTGAGGAAGTTTGTATGTTGTAAATATTGTACATGTGTAGTTGAGAAAGTGTAGGTGATTTTGGAGGATGTTGTTGCACTGCTGTTGTTGTTCTGGTTTTTCTACAACTGGTGCAGCACGCTCTGTGCCGCTTAGTGCGCTCTCCTGTGCTGCACCAGTGAAGTTTTTTTTTAGTGTTCACTTGGCCGTCCTTTTTCCCACTTTCACCAAGGCCTTGTAGTAGTAAATGAAATTAATATTATTTTTCTAATTCTTTTGTGTTTATCTTTGAGCTTGTTGTGAATAACTTGAGGATATTGAGGTGATTTGTCAAATTTGATCGTTTCGACTTGCGAATGCGTGATAATGATTTTGTTAAAGTTTTGTACACGTTCGAGGTATGTGTTTATCGCTTTCTATACTTTAGCATATTCATGATACTTAGACTTTTTTTACAATTTTTATGTCATTCATTCTTTTGTATACTTGTTCATTTGTGAATCACTTTAGTTCCTACCCTTTTTGTGAGGTAGCTTTCCATTGTTCACATATGCTGGTGACCACAACTCTTGTTTTAACTGGATTTTATTATGCTTAATATTTTTTTTGTGTTGGTTGTATGAAAGCATGAAAATGATCAAGGCATTTTTTTATTCCATTTTGAGCACAACTATCCCTAGTCAAATAGTCAATTCACCTTGTGAGTGTGTGTTCATTAGTATCCCCTTTGAGCTTTTTGTCAATGTCCATGTTGTTTTTACTTAATGCTTGTTTATGAGTGTTGAGTTTATCTTTTTGTATGAATGTTGATTCTTTTGTTTTCTTGAATCCTCAACTATGATTTTTAGTTGAATTTTTACCTTGCCTTAGAAAGTAGGGAGTATTCATATTATGATGATGGTTGAATTCAAGTTGAGGAGAGAAATGTTTATGTGCTTATGTTGTGATTGCTATGAGGTTGTGAAAAGAAAAGAAAAAGAAGAAAAAAATGTGAAAAATAAGTCAAAAGAAAAAGAAAGAAAAAATGAAAGAAAAAAAAAAGCTTTGAAAAAGAAAAACAAAAAGAGTTTGAATAATTGTGCTAATAAGTGATGTGTGTTGGGTTAAAATTTGGAACGAATAAGAAGTTTGATTGAAATTATTTTGCTTGAGACTTTGTGAGTTCATCACTCCCTTAGGTTTAGGCAAGTTTTTGTTTCGATTAGCTTTAGGATTTATCAGTTGTTTGTTAACCAAACCACATTAAAACCTTGAAAAGCCCTTGAGATTCTTGCATTTGTGTTTTCAATATGAGTTTTTGAATGAATGCATAATTTAGTCTTTTGTTTGCAAGGTTGTGGATGAGTGAAAATACCTTATTTTGTATGTTTTTCATCTATCAGTGATTGTTTTTGTTAGGTGTGATTCATTTGTGAACTAATATTGTTTTAGAATGTTTGGCATGAATTTTGTATTTAACTTTTGTTTCGTATTTTATGTTATAGTTGTAGTTTAGTGGTAAGTATTTACTTTGTGTGTATTGTTTTTCATTTGCACCATTGCATTTGTTTTTCATTTTCAAAACTTGTCGATTCTTGATTTTTTGGTGGATCATTATTGGTTCTTCGAGTTGTTTGTTTCTTGTTTAGGAACAAATAAGTTCAAGTTGGGGAGAGTTTGATAAGTGTCAAAATATCGTTATTTTGTGTATATAATTTATGTATATAATTTATGTATATAATTTTATAAAAACAGATTTAGTTCATTTTTAGGTTATGATTTCTGGGAAGTTTTTGCTCTCAACTCCGTCAACCCTCATTTTTGATAAATTAGCTTAGAAAACAACATTAAGGCCTTGCTTATGGATGATTATAGGTGGATTTCTCATCGATCGGCGCTGACAAAGCGGAAGATTTATGGTTTATCTCTTATTCTCTGTTTGTATTTCTCTTTTGTTGGATATTGTATGTATATTTTCTTTGAACTCATGTATATTTGTCGCCCTTTGCGTTATATAAAACTTGCTTTACAAATCTTTATCGATTGTTATCCTTGATTTTTGCTATGTGCTATGGATTTGAGTTGCTATAGACATATACTGCTTAAATTCTTATCTAAGATGATTATCTAATAGTGTCTGAATTCTATAGATAGATTTAGCGTTGTTATTCACTTAGGATGTCTGTGATTAATGCCTCTGTGTTGTTTGTGTCGCTTTGAGAGATTGTCGATGCAAGCGAGCACAGTTGACTTTTGTGTTGTTGAGGTGGTTTAGAGATCACTACCAAGGTGATGCACTCGGCCTCTCAATTTGGGTTAGAGATGACTTAGGTTGTGAGTGACACATGATGACATTGATTAATATTGTAGGTTAAGTATAACAGGTCGATAGGTTTAAGTCTGTGAGAAGTAATATATACGCACGCTTGATAAGTTATTCTTTTTTCCTTTTTATACATTTATTTTCTGTTGATAATTTTCCTTTCAACCCATTCAACCCCCAAACTCATTAACGATAGATTTGTCAAACGACATTTTAATACACTAATCTTTGTGGACACGATATGATATAACCTAAATATCACCCGATAAATTAATAACTTACTTTTTGCTTGCCACTTTACTACAGCAACAGAACCCAACGTTTATTTTTTAGCTCAAAAAACATATTAATGCAAGCAATGTGGAAGAAAAAACATGTTCTTTACCTTAAATTGCAGTTTCTTTTTCTCCTTTTGATGTGATAAAACACACATATGCTGTTTTGGAGTGTAAAAGTTGATTGAGAATTGAAGGAGGTTTTTTAAGGGTTTTGATAAAATAGTGGTGTTAGATAATGAAGAAGAAGAACATGTATCGTTTGGCATTTTCGGAGATACATCTTCGAAATTGTCACTGATTTGATTAAACCAGCTCAATCAATTTAAAACATCATACAATAGTGATTCTAAAAATGTATCTCCAAATTAATTTTTGACATAAACGAGTGTGTGGCACACTTATCACGCATTTTATGTGTGTATTAAACACGTCCAGAGAAGTATCTCTAAAATATACTAACAATAAAATTAAATGTTTAGTGTGTTCACCATGACTAGATATAATAGATAAAGTAATGCCCTTAACACATTTAGACCACTTTTGAGAAAGTTTCAGAACCCAATCTTTTAGCCCATACTTTTAAAAAAAAATTATATAATTTCACATGAACACGTTCTCAACTGCAACTTGTAAGCCATACATTGCTCGATCACTACCCAATTACGTTTCATTGATGTCCAAGGGCGTTTTGGTCAAAACAACCTCATCATCAATCATGTGCAAGAAACACAAAAACAAAACAAGAGTCTAATAAAAAAACAAGAGAATCAAACAACCAAGATATGGGAACTGTTAGTAACATTGGTTTCTCTTCATTATTCAGAATTTCTTTGAACACAGACCTACTTTCAAAACAAAGAAAATACAAATCGCCATGCAGTTTTATAGTTCCTCTGAACTACTCTGTTAAGGTGAACAAAATCTGTTCTAAACTATCAGAAAGTGGGATTGAAGTATCTAAATCTAAGGATATGATGGAAGAATACAATATAGCTATGAAGAGCATGATGAGGAATCCTTATGAGTATCATCATGATCTAGGTTTGTTTCATCTCTTTATCCTTATTTTGTTTTGGTATTTGATCCGTGAATTCAGTTGCTATTTATGTTTAGTATGATTATCATTATAAACACTCGTGTTACGAATGAATGAATGAATGAATGAATATTCTAACATATTTTTCTTTTTCTTGCTTACTGTTCCATTAGATAGTGTTTAATTTTATTTTTTTTGTCAAGTAGTCTAGCGGCTTAATGTCTCAGGTTTAAACTTGCGTCTCTTAAGTCTGATGTCTCTGAACAGTTATCTACTGAACTGACTTAATTTTAATTGCTACAAACATAAGTTTTCCGTTCAACTGATACTATCATTGATGCTTAATTTCAGGTATGAATTATACAGTTATAACTGACAATTTGATTGTGGGGTCCCAACCACAGAAACCGGAAGATGTAGATCATCTTAAGAATGAAGAAGGTGTGGCATACATTCTAAACTTGCAACAGGATAAAGATGCTGAGTTTTGGGGAATAGACTTGCAGTCAATTATAAAAAGGTGTCGCGAAATTGAAATTCGGCACATGAGGAGACCGGTAAGTAAGCAATCTCCTTCGGGTCTGTTTTGATGGCTATAGTAATCTTTATGCAGAGTTCAAGGTTCTATACACTTTTACTGCTATTGAGAATGTACCATATCAGAAAAGTTATTTTGAGTATTGAGATAGTTCCGAGTTCACTGAATTTTTGTTTACTTGTTCTTGATTGAATTATCATTTACATTTTGTTTATTTATGTTGTTAGGCAGTAGACTTTGATCCAAACTCTTTGCGAAGTGCACTACCGAAAGCAGTTTCATCTTTGGAATGGGCGATTTCTGAGGGAAAAGGAAAAGTTTATGTGCATTGTACTGCAGGACTTGGAAGAGCTCCAGCAGTAGCAATATCTTATTTGTTTTGGTTTTGTGACATGAATGTAAGTCTTAAACCTTCACATTATCTATTTGACAGATGAGTTTAAAGCTTTCTTCGAGTGCTAATTTTTTCACAAATGAATATGGACTTTTTTTTTGGACAGCTAAATGAAGCATATGATATGCTAACTTCAAAGAGACCTTGCGGACCGAATAAAAAAGCGATACGTGGAGCTACTTATGATCTGGCTAAGAATGATCCGTGGAAGGAGCCGTTTGAGAGTCTTTCAGACCATGCTTTTGGGGATATAGCAGACTGGGAGAGGAACCTGATTCAAAATGGTGTCCGTGCTCTTCGTGGAACTTGACATATTAGGTACGCTTCTATTGGGAAAATAGTTGCAGGTTACTGATTTTGGGTATATATTGATATAGGCAATATGTATGTATCTGTGTACACTATTAGATGCTGAGATGGAGTGTTATACTTTTGATTGACAGGTTAATGCTTATGAAGATTCCTGCACAAGTTGTTATCCTTTGGAGGATTGGCATATTTCTACAGATTTATAGGCATATTGCCTGTAACTGGTACGAAATATTCTGTGTAATATTATTGATTGACAAATAAATCAACTCTGTGGCTTATGTACCATGATTGTTGAATGTAGATTTAGTACATAATATTTGAGCATTACTCTTCCATCGGATCTAAAGTGGTTCAAGCTTCTGTTAGAGACAGTATTGCTAGCTATTTTTCACATGCTTTAGTGTTAAGTGTTAAGGATGACACATTTGTGTTAATGTTAAAATTTGAAGTATTATGGAAATAACTGAAATTATCTTATATTGATAATACTTAATGAGTTGAGAAACCAGCCACTCAAGTTCATGCATTTCTTTTGGTCTTTTTTCTTAACAAAACTATACACTAATATTGAACACCACAAATAATACAGGCATGGAAAAGCTTCTCTGGTCACATGGTAAGCGTGATAGATGGCCATATGCTTGACTTTCCTAGATCAGACTCAAAAACATGATACAGTTGATTGAGAGTAGGGCGGTTATGTAAAAAAGACAATTTGAATCGAACAGAATCATAGTAAAAAATCACTCGAACTAAATCGAACTGTTTTAATTTTTCTATAACCGAACTGAATCAAAATTATTGGTTTGTAATACCGATTCGAAACTCCAAAGAGTATCAAACTGTTAGAAGATATTTTATTCTAAATCGAACCATTTATTAAAAAAAATTTAACATGTTTTTAGTGCTTTTTTATTTTTAATTTCGGTTCAATTTGATTCAGTTTTGTTATTTGGTATGATTCTAAAACTTTTTGTGCAAGGTTAGGTCCACAAACCTAATATAACAGTTCCCTATTTTATCTTCAGTTCAATTCCATTTGGCAGTTTGACTTCAGTTCAGTTCCATTTGGCAGTTCGGTTCGACAATTTTTTTGAACAGTTCTATATACAAAAGGTCCAAGACTTGAGCAATTTGCAACACATATCTAAGCCAGCATTTTATCCTGTCTCCATCACAATGAATCGCTTTAAAATCATCTTTTTCTCTGTTAACAAAGTAAAATTAACACAAATTTTATTTATTTTTTTTAAAGTTTTACAAGGATTAGTTTCCAAAAAATGAATCAACCTCAGCATTTGTTGCCAAGATGGAAGCCAAAAGGAAGAATCAGCAGTTACTTGAAAAGTTGGTATGTTAAAACTTGACAGATAAACTGAAACCGATTCTGCAGTAAGAGTAAGACAACAAAAATTCAGTGGTAATATTTATGCAGGACTTGTAACACTGCTGGCATTAGATAATCAATAGCAAAAAAACAGAAATGAATTCTGCCTGTGCCTTGTGATAATTAAGTGATAATTAAAAGATACACATCACAAGAAAAAGATATGAAAAATTCAAATAAATTTTGCCATTTTACTATCAACTTTCTATGGTTAGAATTCTAACATCAAAATAAACACTTGCACAATAGACTGTTAGAAACCAAGAGGTTCCTATATTAAAAGTGATTCTTTTTTCCTTTCTTTTCCTTTAATTCAACCTGTGAGGATCTACCAAATTGTCTGACCTGCTGTTTTACGAGGGAGGCTCAGTGTGTCATTATAGTTGCCAGAGTGGAGGTGTTGGAGACATCTATGGGTTTGTCGAGAAGACGACATGTAGCATATACCCCGATTTATGGAATTAAAGGAAAAAGTTGCCACTAAAAAGATATCAATACACTGAACAGAACATGTCTGGCTTAAATTATATGAAAAAAAATCAGCATCAATAAATAGCAGCTAACTAGTATACATGTATACCTGACATTTTGATAGTGAACATGCAATAATGTCTAAACTTTACAAAGTTATGATCCTTGCATGTTTAAAGGCCAAAAGGACGCTGACGACAAATAGAAAACCCTGTGAAATACACTATTACCAAAGAGAAATTCTCTTTCAGAATCAGACAGTGACTACCCTAAAGAAAGACGTCCTAACCTACTAGTGTATACTATATGAGATATCACCACAACTAAAGTTCGTATGGCAAATGGATGTCTTCTTTCTATATTCTTTGCCAATATTTGGTCGAGACTATGAGGTGTAAACAAAAAAATATTCTGAAGTATACAGCAATCTGAAACATCCCCTAAAAAACCTCAAATGAATGGTCTATAAGATGTGATGACAATCATGCAGAACAACAGAGCAAAAAAAACTGCCTCGACAAGATCAGCCCTGCAAAAAGTTAAGGAAATTGTCAAGAATAATGACATTAAGAATTCCAACATCAAGGAAACATTTTAAATGGTCATGAATTTAATAGGAGAACAATTCCACAACAAAAAATAAAATAGTGCATGTCTGTTTTTCCATTGGGGCGGCAAGCCCAAATGATCATTTCTCTATAAGCACCAAGAGACATGTTCATACATTTCCATACATTGTAAGGGTTAAAGTAAAAGCCTGAACGGCAGTATGCAAGAATATACCTCTTAATTGATCCTTGTAAGGGTTAAAGGGCACCTTTGGTTCATCACAAAGTGTAGCGAGCCTCTTGATTCACGACCAGTTTCGTAGATGAGGATATTCAATGAAGAGCCACAAAAATAAACTCGTTCATCTGAATCAATCAATGCAGCTTAATCTCTTTCTTTTGCAGATCCTCAAAAAGCATGAAAGCTCCTTTAATATTAAAAGCCCCGCAAAAGGCATTGATTAGAGTGTTGTATGTAATAATGTAAGGCACAATCCCACTGTCAGCAAGTTGAGTGAGAAACTTGTAAGCATCCAAAAATTTTCCAGCCACACACATTTGCTCCACCTTTTTCTGGAGACTAGCACTATCAAAAACCTGACCAGAACCCTGAAAAAGGTTTAAGATTAACGAAGGTCTTTTCCCAATCTCCATCTTATAAAGTAAAAGGCTTGCCTCCTCGAGTTTATGAGCATTGCACAGTCCATTTATAAGAGCATTGAAAGTCACAACCGATGGAACACATCCAAGCGACTCCATCCGATTAAATAATTCTTGTGCTTTATCAACCATTCCTTGCTTACACATTTCACATATGAGAATCGTGTGCGTATAAACATTATGCTCAGAAATCTCAAGACAAAGAGACTGTGCTCGATCCAAAAAACCCGTGTCACACAAACCTTTAATTATGGCATTATAGCAATAAGCATCAGGAGTTAAACCTATCTGAGTCATCTCATCTAACATCCTAGCAGCTTCACCAACCCTACCCTCCTCTGACAGACCACGTATCATAATAGCATACAGAACAACATCAGGTGCAAAGCCCTCCTTAAACATCCTCCTATACAACGCATGTGCTTCACTATATCTCCTAGCCCTAAAAAACGCATTAATAAGAGAACTATAGCTATTCTGATTAAGCGAGAAACCGTCTCTCTTTATCAACCATACAAAAGAAAGCGCTTCCTCTACCTCCCCATCTTACAAAACCCATTCAACACAACATTACAAGAAATCATATCCGGCGGACACTCTTTCTCTTTCATAACATTAAACAACATAAGCGCCTCATCTACATTATTCGCCCGACACAAACCATAAAGAATCGAAGTAGTCGATACAACACTCGGAACAACACTAACCTTCTGCATTTCATCAAGCATCTCACGCCCACCCTTTGTTAGTTTTGGAATAACAACAAAGGATGACTTTTCATTAACAACTAGAAACCTGGTCAAAACAAACTCTATTCTTTCTAAAGAATAGATCTTTCCTAAAAACTAGGAATAGTTAAACAAACGAAATTATAGCTAATATTTTAATAATAATAAACTATCTAACAATCTCTCCATTAAGCTAATTTATCTGATCTTAACTTACTTTAGTAATATCCGTAACTCCAAGCATCCCACAAAGCTTTTCAAATTGTTCAAATTTCAATGGTTTTGTCGTAATGTCTGCATTTTGATTCTTAGAAGCACAATAGCTTAACTTGATAACTCCATTGTTCACTAAGGCTCTAAGAAAGTGAAATTTCACATCAATATGTTTACTTTTTCCGTGAAACACTGGATTTTTGGATAGTTGTATAGTAAAACTATTGTCGCACATGATCATAGTTGTTGTTTTTTTTCTACTTCAATCTTTTCCAACACTCTTCTCAGTCAAACACATTGACACACACATAAAGCTGCTGCTATGTATTATGCCTCCGTGGTAGAAAGAGCGACAACTGATTGTTTCTTTGAGGCCCAAGAAATTGCTCCCGCTCCCAATTTAAACACAAATCCGGAAGTACTTCTTCGATCGTCTAAGTCATCGGCATAATCACTATCGGTGAAGGCTTCAAGTTTGAGATTGTTTTCTTGCTTCCTGTAGAAGATACCCAGATTAATTATACCTTTTAGGTATCTTAAAATCCTTTTTGCTGCAAGCTAGTGTGCCATAGTAGGTTTAACCACGAACCTGCTTATTAAACTAACACCAAACATCATGTCAGGTCTAGTTAGAGTCAAGTACATAAGACTTCCAACCACTTGCTTGAACAGAGTTTCATCAATTGTAACACCTCCCTCCTCTTTGCGTAATTTCGTACCCGGTACTATGGGATTTTTCACAGCATTACTGTCCTCCATACCAAATCTAGCTAACACCTCCTTTGCATATTTTCTTTGACAAATGAATATTCCGCCTACACATTGTTCCACTTCTACTCCAAGGAAATGTCTCATTTTCCCCAAATCAGAGATATCAAACTCCAACATCATTGAATTTTTAAACTCATCACACATGCTTTTATCATTCCCGATAAAAATTAAATCGTCAACATAAAGGCTTACAATTAAGAGTTTACCTCCTTTTGATTTTGTAAATAGAGTATGCTCACTAGAACATCTTTCAAATTTTTCTCGTATGAAATAAGCTTCGATTCTGTTGTACCAAGCTTGCGGTGCTTGCTTGAGCCCATATAACGCTTTTTTAAGTCTGTAGACTTTCTCTTCTTCTCCTTTCTTTACAAAACCCTTTGATTGCTCAACAAAAACTTCCTCTTTCAGCTCACCGTGAAGAAAAGCGCTCTTTACATCAAGTTGGAAAACCTCCCAACTAAATTGTGCAACTATTGCAAGAATTATACGGATAGTGTCAAGTCTTTCCACCGGAGAAAATACCTCAGTATAATCAATATCATGGCGTTGTGCATACCCTATTTCTACCAGCCTCGCTTTGAACTTCTCCACCGTACCATCTTCATTAAACTTTGTTTTAAATACCCACTTGACTCCAATAGGTTTGATTTCTTTTGGAATCACAGTAAGTTCCCAAGTTTGACTCCTCTCAATGGATTCAATTTCTGATGACATTGCTTCCCTCCAGTTTTTGCATTTTACTGCTTCTTCGAACGTTGTAGGGTTATTCTCAGTTACCATCATCACTGCGCTCAGATTTTCATCATCAGAGAGACCTTCCCCTGTTTCATAATCTGCCATCCATATTGGTTCTCTTCTTTCTCGCATGCCCCTCCCTTCAACTGATTCGTTAACATAAGAACCTGGCTCATTTGGAGGTAAAACTATCAGACTACTTGACTTGTTGGAGATGCTGTTAATGATGCTGGAATTGCTGAAATTTCCAAGACTGCTGCTCAAGTTATTTGTGCATGTTTCACCAAGTTCTTCATTTTGATCAGCCATAGTATCTTCTTCATCTCCCCACTCCATTATATCTTTCTATATTTCTTCACTAGATCCGCCCCAATCCCAACCTTTTTCTTCTTCAAAAATAACACCCTTGCTGACAATAATTTTCTTTGAGATTGGATCATAAAGCCTCCAAACTTTTGATTCATCGCTGACTCCTAGAAGAATAAATCTCCTACTTTTGTCGTCTAATTTGCTCTTGTTTTGATATGGTATATGAACATGTGCCACACACCCGAAAACTCGGAAGTAATCTACCACTGGTTTTTCATTATTCCATGCCTCTTCTGGGGTCTTATCTTCAACAGCTGTTGTCAGGCATCGATTCTGAATATGAACGCACCATTTTGCAGCCTCTGACCAGAAGGTTTTGGGAACTTTTCTTTCATTTAGCATGGGTCGGACAACATTCATAATTGTCTGATTCTTTCTCTCGGCAACTCCGTTCTGCTGTGGTGTATAGGCTGCTGTCAACTGCCTGCTAAGGCCCTGTGATTTACAGAATTCTCTAAACTCATTTGAGGTGAACTCGCCACCCCTGTCAGTCCTCAAACAAGTTATGAATGCACCTATCTCTTTCTCAACACTAGCTTTAAAATTTTTGAAAGTAATAAAAGATTCTAATAGAATGTACCTCTGGCCACTGAGGGGTGCTGGCTTGATAGGACCACATATATCTGAATTTACTAGATGGAGTTGTTTTGACGCCTTCCATAGACTCCTTTTTGGCATTGTATCTCTGTGTTGTTTCCCAGTTAGGCAGGTTGTACATAACTCCTTGGGAGATTTCAGAACAGGTAAGTCAATCACCATCTTTTTGAAAGCCAATGTTCTCAATCCCTTGTGATTCAGGTGCCCAAATCGACAGTGCCACGTGCGTGCCTCTTTCTCTGATACATCTTCAGTTTGTAAACACATGGAATTTTTCTGTGGCATATGTGCTAACACAGAAAACATTTTGTTTCCACTCATATTAGTGTGCATAATCAGTCCCCTCTTAGAATGATACACTTTACAAGTTTCATCCAGAATTAAAATCGTTAATCCTTTTTCTTGAAGCTTCCCTAAGCTTAATAGATTGTTTTTAAGCTCTGGAATATAATAGACATCAGATATTATCTGGATTATGCCATTTATTTTCACCTTTACACTCCATTTTTCTAATACCGCCATTCTCGTATCATTTCCAAGCTTCACTGTTAGATTGAAAGTTTCTTCCAATTCAGAGAACCACTCTTTGTTTCCCGTCATGTGGTTGATGCAGCCTGAATCTAGGAACCATATCTCTTCTTTCTTTTCTTGATGAATATCTGCATATGACATCAACAAAAGTTCCTCTTCTTCTAATTCAGCATAGTTAGCTTTCTTTTCCCAGTCAGGACATTCATATTGGAAATGTCCTAATTTGTGGAATTTGAAACATTCAATGATTGCTTTATTTGTGGGTTGTCTCCATCTACCCCGACCACGTCCTCCTCTGAACACGCCTCGACCTCTGCCTCTGTTTGATCGATCATCATAAGCCACTTTTAACATATGCTCCTCCTCTTGGTAACCTTGCATTCTTTGTTCATGAACTAGTAAACTTCCATGTAATTCATCAATACTCATAGTACTTAGATCATTTGATTCCTCTATTGAACACACGACATAATTAAATTTGATAGTTAAAGATCTAAGTATCTTACTGACCACGATACTCTGCTCCATTGTCTCACCGTTTGACTTCATTTTGTTCACTAAGGTCAAGGTTCTCCCCAAGAAAGTGTCTACTTTCTCTCCTTCTTTCATGGTCAGCAACTCGAACTCCCTTCTTAATGCCTGGAGTTGTGCCCTTTTCACCTTTGTGGACCCTTAATATTTCCGCTTCATTGAGTCCCAAATTGCTTTTGAGGTTCCCTTGTCAAGAATTGTTTCAAGAATTTCTCTTTCAATAGTTGAAACAGAAAATTCTTGACCTTCAAATCTTTGAGTTTGGCTTCTTCCACTGTCTTTCTCTGCGCCTCGTTTGGTGATGTTGTCTCAATTGCAGCTGCAGGAATTCCTTCATCGACCAAATTCCACATCTCCTTACTTCTTAGGAAGTTCTCCATCATCATTCATCAATAAACATAATGGCCATTGTTGTACCCCAAAATTTGCCCTCTCATTTCTTAAAGAATCACCCTGGATCCTCAAGTGTGCTTCCATCCAACTCCAAGCCTTGAGCATCAACTTTTCAAGAAAATCACTCACAAGGGTAAAATGGTCATTTGCACACTGAAAAGTCAAACTTTGACTTTTGAATCAAAACCAAGTTTCAAGAATCATATTTCATTAAGACATGTTGGAATGTGAGATTTGTTTCATCAAGAAATTCAAAAGTCAAATATACCGTGGAAAAGCCAAATTCTAAATACTTAGAACTTTTTTAAATTTGACACTTCAGAACTTCTGAGCCAGCCTCCATGCAAGTGCAGTCAGAGGTTACAAACATGGTTCAAAATATAGCCTTCAGTCAGAACATGGCTCTTCAGACTCTACGCAAGCTCAGTCAGAGTTTTCCAGGGTAATTCAAAGAAGGTTAAGAAGCATGCTGCAAGCTTTTCAGAAAGTCTGAAATCTCCTTCATAATATGCTGGAGCCAGAAGATGAGAGGAT